CTTTCGAATGATGACTATTTTCTCCACTGTTAACAATGTGAGCTTATCATGAATATGTTTAATTAATACTGAGTTATTCAAATAAAGGTTCTGGTGTCTACATTTTATATTTTGTTGTGATGTTTTGTTGTACCATCATAAATGGTACATTTTGTGGAGCAGACTGCCTAATTTGATGTCATGAAATTACACACAAAATTAGAGCTCAGGTTGCACTAGCAAGCACCATTTTCAGCATGCTGTTCTTGTTTTTGGCTAACGACAGAGGGGACACCTCCCTCTCCTTCTCTCTTCCCCGTTGTGCTCGGTCGCGGAAAATGCTCCGCAGTTTCCAGAAAAAGTTTACTAATACTTTTTTTTCTTGATTAGTAAATTTACTATTACCTAGCAAATTCCAGAGAGAGCCCAGCAGCGCATTGTTGGTGAAAAAATTTCATTGAATGTAAAAGAAAAATTAAATTTATATTTATTTAAGAATTGTGTAGCTTTACTAGGATTCTTTTTATCAGCTACTCAACAATACTGTGTAACAGGAAACCTGGTACAACTGGTTATCAGTATACCTGGTACAACTGGTTATCAGTATACCTGGTACAACTGGTTATCAGTATAACTGGTTATTAATTATACCTGGTACAACTGGTTATCAGTATAACTGGTTATTAATTATACCTGGTACAACTGGTTATCAGAAAACCTGGAACAACTGGTTATCAGCATAACTGGTTATTAATATACTTGGTATAATTGGTTATCAATATATTTGGTATAACTGGATAACAGTATACCTGGTACAACTGGTTATCAGTATACCAGGTTATTAATATACTTGGTACAACTGGTTATCAATATATTTGGTATAACTGGATAACAGTATACCTGGTATAACTGGTTATCAGTATACCAGGTTATTAATATACTTGGTATAACTGGTTATCAATATATTTGGTATAACTGGATAACAGTATACCTGGTATAACTGGTTATCAGTATACCAGGTTATTAATATACTTGGTATAACTGGTTATCAATATATTTGGTATAACTGGATAACAGTATACCTGGTATAACTGGTTATCAGTATACCAGGTTATTAATATACTTGGTATAACTGGTTATCAATATATTTGGTATAACTGGATAACAGTATACCTGGTAT